GCGTCCTTGTCGGTTCTGGAGTGGCAGTAGGTACCGCAGTTGGAGTGGCGGTAGGAGTTGCCGTCGGGATTGGTGTCGGCGTAGCAGTGGGTGTCGGCGTTAGAGTTGGCAACGGAGTTGGAGTGTCCGTGGGAACCGGCGTTTCCGTTGGCATAGCCTCTACAGTGGCTGCTAACCGGGCCACCACCGTTGCCTCAATGTTGGGCGTAGGCGCCGGGGTTGAGGTGGGCAAGGCTGTAGCTGTGGGTCTTTCGGCCAACGCCTCAACGGTAGCTGGCAAATCCGGGGTCGCCGTTACCTGAACAGAAACGGTAGGAGGAGGTGCAAGTGTCGGCGTTGGTTCCTGGCAGGCCAGCGCAAGAATCCCGACGAGAATTGCCACTAGCCCCAGTGCTTTACCCATTTACTGCCCCCTCGCTACTTATGTCTCTATGCAACTTGAGGCAGTATAAGCTAACCCGCCAGCAACCTGGCAATACCTTGCTTAACGAGGTTATTGGCCATAACCACCTTGTAGCCGTTGTCGGTCATGGGGCGGGCATCGGGGATGCTGAGGGTGCCGGCGTGGGTGGAGTCAAGGGAATCGACGGCTCGTCCGATGAGGTATTCTTCTACTTCGGTTGCACGGTAGGGAACGGGGGCCACGCCTCCCAGAGCCACTGCCGCTTGTTGAACGGTACCATTGGCCACGTCCAGGCGCACGGCCACGCTGACAAGCGCGAAGTCTCCCGCCTCGCGCTCCCGAGCCTTCAGATAAACGCTGCGGGGCGGTTGTCCTTCGGCTCCCAAGTCCGAAGGGCGGGGCACGTTAACGCGGGTTACGACCTCACCCTGCTCCAAAACAGTTTCACGGCTTATGTCAACACCAGGGCCGGTGAAAAATTCGCCGATGGGCAGGGTCCGTTTTCCGCTCGAGCCAGCGATTTCAACGGCGGCATTGAATACCGACAGGGCCACCGCCGTGTCCGAGGGGTGGACGATATAGCAGCGGTCGCCGCCCGTAACGCACAGGTGCTTGGTGTTGCCGACCAGGGCGTAGCAACGGTCGCCCCCTTTTTTCAAGCAAGGAATCAGCGGATGGCGGTAGTACCAGCAGCGGGGTCGCTGGTTCAGGTTGCCGCCCAGCGTACCAACATTGCGGATCTGGGGCGTGGCCAACCCACCGGCAGCCTCGGCCAGGGCGGTGTAGGCAGTGCGGATTACCGGGTGGGCCGCGATGTCGGCGATGGTAGTCATGGCGCCGATTCTCAACCCATCTTCGGCCTCGGTTATGCCGGCCAGATCGGGAACTCCGGCCAAGCTGACCACCGACGCAGGTCTGATAATCCCTTCCTTGACCTCGTCCAGCAGGTCGGACCCTCCCGCAATGATGTGGGCGTCCGCACCGGTCTCAACCGAAAGCAATGCCACCGTTTCAGCGAGGGATTGGGGTTCGTGGTATTGGAAGGGATTCATGAAAGTCTCCTTGTCTCATCTGTCGGCAAGCTGCCAAGGCAGTCATATTTCTGAAGGGCACGTTTTTCTAAGCCGATTGCATCGCACGAATTACCCGGTCCGGAGTAATGGGCAATTCGGACAGCCTCAGTCCCAGGGCATCGTACACGGCGTTGGCGATGGCCGGGGCAACGCCGGGGCAAGGAACCTCTCCCAAACCCTTGGCGCCCATAGGGCCAACCGGATCAACCGTGTCTGCGAATATCACCTCCAGATTGGGGAAGTCCATTATTGTAGGACTCTTGTGCTCCAGGTAGCTGGCGTTCAAAGTTACGCCGGTTGGGCCGTCGGTAACCAGTTCCTCGGACAGGGCAAAGCCAAGCATCTGGGAAATGGCGCCCTCGACCTGGTTAAGGGCCATTCGAGGATTCATGATTCGGCCCGAGTCCTGGGCGGCCACGTAGCGCAGTACCCGCACCCGACCAGTGTCGGTGTCCACTTCCACCTCGCAGAAGTGGGCGCCAAAAGCGTTGACGATGTAATCGGCGCTCCCTGGCACCTGAATGGTTACCTCTTCGGTGATGGCCTCGTCGTCCATGCGGGCGGCCACGTCGGTCAGCGCCATACTTCGGGACGGGTCAGCGGTGACGAAAACTCGACCCTCCCTTATGTCCAGCTCCATAACAGGAGCTTCTAGACCGTCGGATGCCAGATCCAGCAATTGGCGACGCACCTCGGCGGCGGCCTGCACCAGGGCGGTGCCAGTGGAAAATGTGGCCGTGGAACCGGCGGTAATGGGGGCCTCCGGTGTAGTAGCCGAGTCGCCGAACACCGTGATTACGTCCTCGGGGTTTACGCCCAGGATTTCGGCGGTCATCTGGGGCAAGACCGTGGTGGCGCCTTCCCCCACGTCCATCAGGCCGCTGAGCAGGGAAATCTCTCCGGTCTTGGCAACGCTGACTGTGGCTGCGGAGGTGGAACCGGGGCCACCCCGGTAAATCATCATGCTCATGCCCTTGCCGCGCTTCTTGGAGGGGTCGGCAGGCTGATCCAGGGGCTGATCCCAGCCAAAGGCTTCGGCGCCCCGGGTCAGGCACTCTTCCAGTCCATAGCTGGAGAAGGGGATGCCTCCCTCAATGGGCTGGCTGTCCACAATCTGGTCCGGCGGGGACAGCCGAGGCCCGGGTTGGCCTTGCGGCGGCACGCGGTTCTTCAACCGGAACTCCAGCGGGTCAATGCCCAGCTCCTCGGCAATGCGGTCCATCAGGGTTTCCAGGGCAAAGTGGCCCTGGGGCGCGCCCAGGGCCCGGTAGGAACCTGCGGAGGGGCAGTTGGTGTATGCAAGGTAGGACTCATAGCGGACGTTGGGACAGTGATACAGATAAATGATTCCCTGCCCCGCCCGACGAGCCACGCCCGGCCCGGAGGCCGCGTAGGCTCCAGTATTTAAGGTAGACGTGCCAACATACGAATGGCCTGAGGCGTGCCGTCGTGTGTTGTTTGACGCCGACCCTGCGAGTTGCTTACCAGTCTTCCTTATTTACACGTACTGTAACGTACCGATCTCGTCCCCTCCTGTCCAAATCGCGTATCTTAGTGGGCTCTCGTCCATCTCCGGACGCCGACCCTGAGGTGGATACGGCCGGCATGACGGGTACGACCGGCTACGAACTCGTCCTCGCGGGAAAACTCAATCCGCACCGGCCTTCCGGCCCGCCGGGACAGGACGGCCGCTATGGCCGCCAAACGAGACTCGTCCTTGTTGCCGAAACCGCCGCCGAGAAACGGGCCGATCATCTGCACATTTTCAGCGGGGATTTCCAATGCCTGGGCCAAGGCGGCCTGGTCCAGGTGAACGCCGCGAGTGGACTTCCAGACCGTTACCGAGTCGCCATCCCAGCTGGCCATGGCCGCCCGCGGTTCCATGGGCGTGGCAGAGTGGCAAGCGATGTTGTAGGTCTCTTCCCTCACCAAGTCGGCTTCCGCAAAACCCTGGTCCACGTCGCCTCGGCCAATGGACAGAGGCGGATTCAGGGCCAGGTTGCCGCCCGGGTGAATTTCAACAGCGTCGGGCGCCAGGGCTGAATCAGCATCCGTGTAAAAGGGCAGCGTCTCGTACTCGACCCGGATAAGGGACAGAGCCCGAAAAGCGGCATCATCGTCCAACGCGGCGACGGCGGCGACCTCATCTCCTACAAAACCGACCCTGGTGTCCAATATGCTGGTGTCCTGGGCAATGGGCGAAACGATCCGTCGGGGAACGTCAAAAGGAGTTATTATCGCCAGGACTCCCGGCACCTGTTCAGCCTCGCTGGTATCAATACTGACGATATTGGCATGGGGGTGCGGGCTGCGCAGGATATGACCATAGAGCATGCCAGGCAGTTTCAGGTCGGCAGAGTACCTGGCCTGACCCACCAGCTTTTCAGGAAAATCCCGGCGCGGTACATTCTGGCCTACAACTGACAAGGTGGTCATGGATCACTCCTTTGGGCATCGGGGTTCGGGACTACGTTTCATTGAAGGCGGTTTATTGATCGGACTTTCCAGCAAAGGATTCGATCACTTCGCGGTATTGGTGTAGCTTCTTGTGGAGGCAATCAGCCATCTCTGGCCAGTTGACCGAGTTATAAGCATCAAACGATTCCCATTTGGTTATGCCCTGCTGTTCCAGGGCAAGGCTGCAATCATCCGCAAGTCTTGAGCTTTCCCCCTGCAGGTCGCCGCGCCTTCCGTTCAAGAATATTCCGACGCCGTCCTGTCCCAGGGTGAGAGAGGCATTCAGATTGGCTATGGGAACTACGACACTATGGTTAATGTGGCCAGGGTTTATAGAAGCGTCATCCGGATATTTGGCTGCGAACAGACTCCAAAATTCATTGCGCGTCTTGCGGAGCCCGATCAACTCCCCTCGGGTTTCGCTCAGGGCACGAACCTGCTTTTCCCATTCGTTAGGGCGTTCAACTACTTCGAAAAGCGCCGCTATCAGTGAATCCGCGATTCGAACGGCCTTAACCTGAACCGCAAAGAAGCTGAAGCGCGGGTCGGTATTCTCGTTCAGCCACCTGATGGCCAGACAGTCATGCTCGGCGAAACTCGGGGCAAGCCAAACGGCTATGTCCGCCCTGAAAGCGGCCAGATACGCCAGGACCTGACCCAAGTGTTGAAGGTCGGCGCTATAAAGCTGACTTTCAATCAATACCAGCTTGTCCGCCTGATTATCTCTCGCAATGAGGTCGGCCCTGAGCGCCCCTGAAATTACTTCCCTACCTTCCACTTCCAAAGCTATTCCAAGCACTTCGGACAGCTTGTTGATGTTTTCTTCCAGCCAGGGAGTAAAGTCCATTGCCTCGTGGGGCCAGGCAGCGGTCAAATCTACTTCTTTGAGTTCCCCGAAATCTGCCAACTACGGTTCTCCTCTTGTATGAGCAGGAAAGTCGCCCACGACTCTGATTGCTCAAAAAGCCATTTATGGGTAAAGGGCGGGTTGTGAAACCCGCCCCAACTGTGAACTAATCCAGTCCAGTCAAGCAGTCCTACAGAACGTGGAACATCAAGCGGTGATCGCGCAGCACGTCGTTGGCGAAGTCGTTCTCCACGTCACGCCAAACTGAGTGGATGTGGTTGGCCCCGTCCTGGATGTTGTCGAACTCAATGAGGAAGTTGCCGCCGTGAATCCGGTAGTAATGGTCACGGCTGCGGTCGGTGGCGCCGGCCCAGACCAGGCGGAAGTGGTCCAGTCCATTCTCTTTGATCGCTTCCAGCCTCTCATGGGCAACGTCGGTCCTGACCTGGTTGACGTACTCGGTGATCAGGGCCAGCAGGATTTCCTTTTGCTCGCCGGTCATTTCGGTTGCGGACAATCCCTCGCCCTGGTGTACGGGGGCCTTGGTTGTGTTGTAGGTCAGGATGTCCCAAGGGGCGTTCTCATGGATTATGGCCTTGGCTCGCTGCTCATCGGTCATAGTTGCCATCAACTCTATGGCCAGATCTTCGCGGTCGCCAAGAATGCGCTTGCCCTGCTCGGGGCCGTGGGGCACTTCAGCAGGATTGGCGCCAAAGAAGAAGGGTGTAACGGCGGTTACTTCCTCGCCCCATACGCTGAAGTGCAGGGAAACGTGGTGTCCCTCGGCCCGCCAGCCCCAGGGTTCCTCGCCACCTGGTTCACCGAAGACCGTCCAATAGTAGAGCATCGGGTCACGGACAAAGCTCTCAATGCCCCGTTCTTTCTCCAGAGGGCCCAGGATAAGTTCGTGGTCAATGATGGCCTTGGCCTGCTCGTAAGCCTGGGCGTCCAGGGAACTTTCCATGATTCCATAGGCCAGATCCCGCTGCTCCGGCGTCATGTCCCTTAGCGGCAGGCCGTGCCGGTTCAAGGGTGGGTAGTACCAAAACTGCCGCTCACCATCCAGGTAATGGTACGTGGCTTTGGCCTTCTGCTCGGGGTTTAGGCTGTCAACCCACTTGCGGCAGGCTTCTGCCATTTCAGCAGTGGCCGATATGTGTTCGTGATAGTGGGTATGCTTAATCCCATGGGTGTGTTCCAGTGTGGCCGTCATTGAACGCTCCTTGTTGGTGTATCTAGCGCCAGCGAAAAGTTTTGAAGTTGAGTTTAGTATTGGGGTAATGGAGTGTCAACCTGCGCATAGTACACCGATACAACCGAAAACGAGCCTCAACACAGTCCCCTGTTCGAGGCCACAGTGTGCCTCAACCCCGGCAAGACCAAACGTGATTAGTCCGAAAAGCAGGCCCGCTTGACACCATTCCTGTACGGGTTATGATTGGGTCTGCTGACCATTTGCGTACGGAGGTTCCTGCCATGGCGTCTCATTCTCTGGGCCTTACCCTGCACCAGGCGGCACGGCAGAAGGGCGTGTCATTCACGCAGGAGAATGAACCTGCCGACCGCAGTGTCCAGGCGAACGGTATGAACTTTCACTACCTGGAATGGGGCCAGCAGGGGAAGCCTATGATAGTGATGCTGCACGGCGGTTCCCAGCAGGCCCACAGTTGGGACTTCGTCAGCCTGCCCCTTTCCGAGGACTTCCACATTATCGCCACGGACCAGCGCGGCCACGGGGACAGCGACTGGGCTACCGACGGCGACTACAGCATCGAGGCTCACCAGCAAGACATTGATGGTTTTATTGGGGCCCTGGGGCTTTCCAACTTTAACCTCATCGGCCACTCCATGGGCGGACGTAACAGTTACGTCTGGGCCTCCCGCCACCCCGAAGCGCTCAAGTCACTGGTTATTGTGGATACGGGCCCAGTGGCCCAGCCCAGAGGCCGGAACCGCATACAGAACTTTCGGGAATTGCCTGACGAACTGGATTCCTTTGAGGAATTTGCCGACCGAGTCCAGGAATACACCGGCCGCACCCGTGAGCAGACCCTGGGCGCCTTGAAGTACAGCATCCGGCAGCGGCCGGACGGCAAGTGGTCGTGGAAGTACGACAAGCTGCTCCGGACCCCGGGGAGCCAGGGGCCGGTCTGGTCGTCAGAACAACTCTGGGAGTCAGTGGCCAAGATAACCTGCCCCACCCTGGTGGTTCGCGGCGGCGACAGCGACATTTTCGCCGACGAGACTATGCAGGAAATGCAGCAGGTCATACCCACTTGCGACACGGTTACCGTCCCCAACGCCGGGCACCTGGTGGCCGGTGATAACCCTTCCGACTTTCTAACCGCTGTCCGTTCTTTCTACACCAAACATGCCTGATTCATCAGGCAGCGCTTAACAAAGCATCGATTAAGGCGACCGACAAATTTGGGTGGCCCGGTCGGTCTAAACGATTTGCAACGCCATAATTGGGCTAGGTGAATAGCCTTGGCACCAGGTCTCCCAGGGCAAAACCGATTGCGGCGGATATGATTCCGATGACCAGGATCTCCAACCCCTGCAACAGTGGAGACTTGCTGACCATACGGCCCTTGCCCATGCCCAACACGAAGAGACCGACCAGGGCCCCCGCAACTGAAACGGTGATAGCGGTCCAACCGGCCAGGAACAGGTAGGGCAAGATCGGGATCATCGCTGCCACCACAAATGATACCCCCATCACAAGGGCGTCTTTGACAGGATTGGTGGTCTCTTCTACACTGATCCCCAGTTCCTTCTCCACGAGGGTGTTGAGCCACGCTTCCTTGTCCTGGGCGATTTCGGAAGCCAGGGCATTGGCTTCCTGGAAACTTCTCCCTTCCCGTTGCAGCACCACCACCAGCTCCGCAAATTCCTCGGCAGGGTTTTCTTCCAACTCCTGGGCCTCGCGGGCTATTTCAGCTCTTTGTACATCCTGTTCGGCACGGGACCCCAGGTAGGCGCCGGTGGCCATGGAAATCATTCCGGCCAGGGCGGCAGCCAGACCGGCTACCAGCACCGTGGCGCCGTCGCCAATGGCCACTGCTACGGACGTAACCAGGGCGACGGTGCTTAGGATGCCGTCCTGCGCACCGAATACCACCTCCCGCAACCTGCCCAAATTGGCAACACGGAAACGCTCCTTATCGACTTCAATGGTGGCGGCCACGTAGGTGTTCAAGTCTATTGCGTCTGGACCTTCTCCCACCGCCAGGTCAGGACTTACAGTGACCAGTTCCGGCTCCACTGCCCTCGTTGCGGGCGCGGCAGGGGCGGGCAATTCCTCAGCGGAAACCCGTTCGATTGGTGCCTGGGCGGGTTGTGGAAAATCAACTGGATGAGAAGGCACTACTTGGGCGGCGGTTCCTTCCCGACCCTGACGAGTTTCCAATTGCGTCAACGCACGGGCAAAAATGGTCTGGTGATGCTGTTCCCTTTCCAGCGCCAGGGCGAATGAATCGGCGGCGTCCTGGCGGCCGTCGCTCTGGGCGTCCCGGATCATGCGGGGATACATGGTGCTGAATTCCCGCGATTCTCCTTCAGTTACCACCCGGAGATTTTCGATGGTGCTGTGTACCTCTCCGGCCACCCGCAAGTGGTTCAGGCCGTGAATAGTTTCGGCGCCGGCGACCTCCTGGAAAATCTGGGCCACTTCGGGATAGCCCTCTTCCAGCGCCTTGTGGGCAAAAGCGTTGTACTTCAAGTGAGCCAATGCTTCACCGACGATGGCGCTCCAGAGGTTGCGCTCGGTGCGGCTCAGTTCCTGGGCGGACGATGTCATGCTGGCCTCCTTAAGGCCTGAAGCTTCACAAATAGCAATATATACTATTATTCTATCGTACTAAACGAGGACGGAGAAGGCATTGAGTGTATTGCTGACTCATTTCACGACCCCAACACCCGCAGGTAATATGACCAACACATCTCCGTCTCCCTGCGGAGCATTCGCCCCTTGCGGCAGCTTGGGCCCTACCGGATAATGGGCCCACTTGCAAAAGACAATAAGAGCATTGAATCAAACTCATCTAAGAATGGAGGAACCAATGAAGGTTGGATTTATTGGCTTGGGAACGATGGGCGGCAGCATGGCCTACAACTGCCTACAGGGCGGCAACGAAATGATAGTCCATGACATTCGGCGGGAGGCGGCCACACCCCATCTGGAGGCCGGGGCTGTCTGGGCAGACAGTCCCCGGGAAGTGGCTGAAGGGTCCGAGGTTGTATTTACATCGCTCCCCGGCCCGGTGGAAGTCGAGGCCGTAGCGCTTGGTGAGGAGGGCTTGCTGGAGGGATTAAGCCCGGGCAAAGTCTATTTCGATCTGAGCACCAATTCGCCCACAGTGATTCGAAAGATTCACGAAGTGTACGAGGCTCAGGGCATTCACATGCTGGATGCCCCGGTGAGCGGCGGCCCCCGTGGGGCCCGTTCAGGCAACTTGGCCATCTGGGTCGGCGGCGACCAGGAGTTGTTCGACCGCTACAAGCCGGTTCTGGACTCCATTGGGGACAAGGCCTATTACGTGGGTCCAATCGGCTGCGGGTCGGTCGCCAAGCTGGTGCACAACTGCACCGGATACATCATCCAAACCGCCCTGGCCGAGACCTTCACCATGGGGGTTAAAGCCGGTGTGGATCCCCTCGCTCTATGGCAGGCGGTGCGCCGGGGGGCGCAAGGGAGGCGTGGCCCCTTCGAGGGGATGGCGGAGCACCTGCTTCCCGGCAACTTCGATCCCCCCGATTTCGCGTTGACGCTTGCCCGCAAGGACGTAGACCTGGCCGTCGGCGTGGGGCGGGAATTCAATGTGCCCATGCGGCTGGCCAACCTCACCCTGGCCGAGATGACCGAGGCAATCAACCGGGGCTGGGGCCATCGGGATTCCAGGGTTGCCATGCTGTTGCAGGAAGAACGGGCCGGCGTGGAAGTTCGGGTCGACGAGGACACCCTTAGACAGGCTCTGGAAGAAGAACGGGGATAGGCTGCCGTGCTTGCGCTTTGAACATATCTGCCAATATGTCCCGTACCTTGAGCCGCACCCATTTGGTCACGGTGTATAATTGGAGGGAACTCCCGCTTTCACACAGCGGGAGCAGCCTCATGGAAACCAATCTTGCGGAGGTGAACCATGGCTATCGAGTTGAACCATACCATAGTACCCTCGCGTGACAAGGAAGCGGGCGCCAGGTTTTTCGCCCGGGTTTTCGGATTAACCTACGAAGGTGTTCACGGCCACTTCGCCCCGGTCCAGGTAAACGATGCCCTGACCCTGGATTTCGACGACCGGGACGAATTTGAGAGCCACCACTACGCCTTTCACGTAAATGAGAATGACTTTGATTCCATCTTCGACCGGATAAAGGCTGAGCAGATTCCTTACGGCAGCGGGCCCCGCAGCCAGGAAGACATGGAAATCAACAACCGCCGGGGTGGTCGAGGAGTCTACTTCAAGGACCCGGACGGCCACGTTCTGGAGCTACTGACCCAAACCTAGCGACAAGTCAGGTGTGAGCGGCACAAAAAGCAAGGGGCGCAGCGATTGAACGTCTGCGCCCCTCTGTTTTTCGTTTCTTCGCATTCCCTGTTCGAAAGCAACTTCTCTAATCACCAGGTTCAGGCACGATACCATCGTCCAGCGGTTCGTAGGTCAACTCTGTCTGGTAGTTTTCCCTGCCGCCGGAGGTCTGCCCGTTATTGCTACTCCGTAACCCCGAGGGTTCCGAACTGTCGCCCCCGCTGTCCGCATCTGAACCAGTAGCCCCGCCTCTTGACCCCCTGCCGCCGGTCATTGCCTGGCGCATCAACCCCATGGTGTCGAGAATACGGGGTTCCAGGGCAAAGCGACGTTCCCTTCGGCCCAACTCTTCAGAAAGAGTCGCTCCAGGCCGGCGAACTTCCCGGTACTCGTTCAGGAGGTTCCTGAGGCCTGATGCCAGCTCAAGGGTACGGTCCAGTTCGGAGAGTTCCGTCAATCCCTGGGCGCTCCAGAAGGATGTATCCTGTTCCAGGAATTCCAGGTCTGCGGAGAATTCCTGGGTTATCTCGCTGTGGGCCGCCACCAGGCTGGACCGGCGCTCTCGTTGCGCCGATTTCAGTGACCTGATATTGCTCACGGCATCCACAAAGGCAGGCACAGCCTCGTTCCAGTTCCAGTCCTCGGGACTAAGGGAGCTCAAGTAATCAATGCATTGATTGAGAATGGCGGGTCCGTTTATCGCGGCAGGGGCACTGGGCGGGCGTTGGGGGGGAACGACAGCCGCAGGAACCGGGGCAGGTTGTGGCGCAGGTTGTGGCGCCTGCTCAACGACCGGAGCCTCCTCTTCTTCGGGCTCAGGCTCCTTCTCCGCTTCGACCATCGCCGGCTTGTCCCTGATGCTTGATATTTCAACGAAGCTGTCAGTTCCAATGTCTCGGTCGTCGTCTTCGTCCATTACTACCGTCCTGCCGGAAACGTAACAAAGCATCAGGGCGACGTCTTCTTCGCTCCAGATTTCAGAAAGATCTACGATCCAGTCTAACTCTTTTTGCCAAGTGTCTTCGTCCCAAAAGCCACGGAATCGACTATTTTCAAAGTCCGGGTATTCGGTGGGCAAGCCCTGGGAAGCGAGGTGACCGGAAACAAGCTTCTCCAGTTCCTCCATGGATTCTGCCCAGACTCGCAGGGTGGCAATGGCAAGCTTTTCAGACTTGCCTATATTGCTGCTTACCGGTTCCGTAAGAGCAGACGAAATTGCCAATGCTGGATTGGAATAACCTACCATGCGTATGCTGCCGCGTATGGCTGAATCGAGCGCGCGTCCGGAGTCGGTGGATACGTGATCCCTGGCTCGCAGCGCCCGCATCACGACCGAACCGCGGTACTCGGGGCTAAGGGCTTCAAACATGGCGGTAAGTTCCAGGTGCGCCCTGCTCACATTATCTTCAAAGGGTTTCCTGGTCATGAAAAACCTCCAGGTTCGACTCAACGGACCGTCTGCGCCTGACCAGGCAGATGCGTCTTAACTAACAGCCAATGGGCGGTCCTCGGAGCTTAGTTCATTTTAGCACGGGTAACGAGGTAATCTTTTTTCAAGCAGGTATATTCTGTGCCCTCAACCCGCCAGGGCCAGAATATAGTGAGAACATAATATTTGCGAAATTGATAACTATTTTAGCACCAATAGAGAGCTGTAGATAGCCTTCTCCAATAATTCTTATGATTAATGCTATCAAGACTAGAGGCAATTCGCATCACGGCAAACGACCAACCGGGCCGAAAGTCGGTCCCAGCGGTTAGCTGCAACCCTTACGGCACTGGATGGCCTGATCTTATTGAGAAAGCGCAGGCAGCCCTCAATAAGTTCAACAATCTAATGGCAATTACGTTGGGCGGTTGCTCTCAAGACGGCTGTGCTCCACCTCGATCTTCCATGGCAATCCCCACGTTCGAAACCGATTCATCGTTTGGCTGGCCCGGTGCTGCCGCGTTTTCCGGATTCGCTGCTCGACCCTCACTCCAAAGCTGCCAGGCCGTTACTGAGCCGAGGACAACAAAAGAGGCATTAAAGGCGATCCAGATGAACCCTGCCACGGTACCCGACGTACTTTCGCTGGAGCTCAACTCCTCGAACCAGTTGGCAAAGAACCAAAGAGCCAAAAACATCGCCGCGAACAGCCAAAGATTCGCGGAGAGATATCCGACACTAACGTCGTCTTCCTGGTGCTGCCGGTCAAAGGCCCGCTTCCTCTGGAAGTGGTGAACCAGGGCGACAAGTATCCCGATGGCCGTCATCCAGTTCAGGTAATCCCAGACAAGATGCGGCTGGGCTAGAAATGCTCCGTAGATTTCCCCTGCCACGAAATGGATTCCCAGCACAAGGGAAATCACGGCGAGGAAAACGGCTAATAATTTTCTCAGCGCGCCCATAATTCCACCTAACTTCGACCGGTGTTCATGTAGCTCCCCGAAGGCGCCGAACTGCGCCACAAACGCATACCGGTCAGTCCCACCAGAATTACCAACAAAGGATCGAGTATGTACCAGATGACCATAGTGGCCGCCGACTGGTCGCCAATTGGATCTGAAGACAGGAAATCGAACCAGTTGCGGAAGAACCACAGGGCAACAATCAGGGACAAATAGAACATGACGTTGGCTTCAAGGCGTTCCCGATTCAGATTTTCTCCCCGGCTCCGGTCCGCTGCCCGTTTCCTCTGAAGTTGGACCGCCACCGTAATCACGATAGAGACTGCCATCAGCATATCGAGGTAATACCATACCGCCAATTCGGCCTGTCCTATGCCGCCGTAAATGGGGCCCAGTACGAATTGCAACGCCACCGCAAGAGAACAAAATACCAGCACCAGGGCAACGAGCATTCTAAGAATGTCCATCCTCACACTCTCCAGCAACCTGAAACAGTCAAAGCCTACCACCGGCTATGGAAAAACTTCCTATCCCTGGCCGAACAAATTACCTTGAGTTTTCATGTATACAAACTTAGCGACTTGCTTGAAATTGACACTGTCTGAGCCTCGCCCATATAATTTCCTGACCTTGGGGCGGGCTTGTTTGTTTCACTGCGACTGTCACATACGAACCAACGCCAAAATCCTGTCGCCCCCAGGTCGAAGGGCAATATGACTATCCGAGAGAGATTGGAAGCAGACATAATAGCGGCCATGCGCAGCCGAAACCAGCAACGACTGGACGCCCTTCGTTATCTTAAAAGCGCGATCAACCGGGTAGAGATCGACCGCAGGGTTACGCTCGATGACGCCGGCGTTACCGAAGTCGTGGTACGACAAGTCAAAGACCGCCGTGACAGCATCCGAATGTTTGAAGAAGGCAACCGTACTGACCTGGTTGCCAAGGAATCCGCCGACCTTGCGATCCTGGAAGAATATATGCCCATGCAAATGGGTGAGGAAGAGATTACTGCGCTGGTAAAGGACGTGATTCAGCAGGTGGGCGCAGAAACCATTCGCGACAAGGGCAAGGTTATGGGCCGCCTGATGCCGCAGGTGCAAGGCAAGGCCGACGGCCAGCAGGTTAACACTATCGTCACCAACATCCTTGAATCGAACGGTTAAGCCGGTCCCATCCTGTTCGGATTTACGAGACACCTTCATCATCCCATCTATCCTCCTCAAAAGTTATTGATATGCGATTTGGCATAGTTGTGTTCCCCGGCACCTGGAGCGATACGGACTGCTATTACCAGGTGAAGGACATCCTGGGGCAAGATGCGGACTATGTCTGGCACCAGGAGGAAAGCCTAAAGGGCTTCGACTGCGTAATTCTTCCAGGCGGTTTCTCTTACGGCGACTACTTGCGGGCCGGCGCAATTGCCCGCTTCGCCCCCGTGATGAACGCTCTGAACGAATTTGCCGCCGGCGGCGGGCTGGTCGTAGGGATTTGCAACGGGTTCCAGGTGTTATGCGAGGCAGGCTTGCTTCCAGGAATACTGATGAGGAACGGCCACCTCGAGTATCGCTGCCAGTGGACCACCTTGCGCACCGAGCGAACCGACACCCCCTTTTCCAGTCTTTGCAAAATTGGCCAGACACTGCAAATTCCCGTTTCACACGGTGAGGGCAATTACTACGCCGACCCAACCACCCTGGACCGGCTGGAGGTCAACGGTCAGGTGCTATTTCGATACTGCGACGATTCGGGCGAGGTAACTGCCGAGGCCAATCCCAACGGCTCAGCGCGCAACATTGCCGGAATTGTCAACGAAGCCGGAACTGTGCTGGGAATGATGCAGAACGAAGTGCGAACCCTCTGGTGGGCCGGCAGCGTATTTCCCAGACGGAAACCTGATTTTCCTGTCGATAATGCGCCCACTATTCTTTGCCTCGTGCTGGCTCTTCCTTTCAATTCCCCGAATATCCCCAGTGCTCTGGGCTCACAGCGGCTAGCTCCCCGCTGTCCACGCGTACTTCCTGTATGGTAACACCGAATGGGCGTGCGTCCGTGTTCCCTTTGGATAAACTTGCGTGGTTAAATACCGTCGAAACAACTGTCACTACACAATCGTAGCAGGCTGATCAGCTCGCCCAGGTGTTTATTGATGGGCACCCACCTCTACATAGCCTGGTACCACCGGACACCTGTCGATCCATCCAGTGGGATGGATGGTTCCATCGAGACACTCCGTACTTTACGCACAGTAGAACTAGGACGCACGCAGCTTCTCGAAAGAACGAGCGCGGGACGCGGTGAAGAGCCGCGGCCGTGGTGGTTTGCCAGACTTCATTGAGTCTGAGGCGTAGGGGATGCCGTGGCTTTGCTGCCTTGCAGGACGACGTGCAGCAAAGAAGTGGACCGGCTGGGTCGAGGAAGCCGACACTCGATTACTGTTGCTGATACGACGAACGCACCCACGCACCATGCCCACGGCTGGGCCGAGGTTGGACGTACGTACGGGCTGCCGGCGGAACTTGAACCGCGGGCAACTGGGCGCCATACATGACTCAAGCTGCGTATCGAATTCAATCCCGGATGCTATCCCTCAGCGTTTTCTTGCTGAGTCGGTCGTCCATTTGTGACGCGGAGTGCTCCCCGACGACTGCGCACGATTTCCATCAATGCCCTGTCCGCTATTCGTTGCGGCGGGAACTCACTACTCGCAAATGGGGAATCCTGAGAATGGCCTGGATGCGCTGCCTTCGAGGCGCCCTTTCCCTTTACACGCCAGCGGCACAAGCACATTCCTGAAATGATGTGAGTGAAGTTTGCACTGGATAGCGCCGAGCCCCAGTTGTGCCGGCCGTCAGTCGCCCCGTTCGCTGCGGCATGAGGTACAGGTGCCAGTCCACGCGGCTATGTTGATGCCGGCGCACTGCAGGTCTGGGACAGCCTGTATGACCGCTACCTGGAGAGCAGTTGCGTGCGAAGTGGCCCGTTACACGAGGCCGCCGGCGCATTGACGAGCGCAGCTACATCCTGAAGTTTTGCAACGACAGCACCACCGGATCCACTGCACTGTTGCCCCACCTTGCCGGCAGGGTCACGTTTTGCTGATCGCCGCGGATGCTGACAACCTGGGCAAGGGCGGCCTGCGGTGCAGCTATTCAACACCTGACCTGATGTGGGGTTTGTTGAGGAAGGGCGGGGCTGCCCAACTCTCGTTAGCATAATAGGGAAAATGCCCTCAGAGGTGTCCGTTGCAGGTAAACTCTAGAAGATAAGAAGCAGGTTTATGCTTGACGAGCTTAAACATTGCGGAGAGCGGGCTGGACGTGTTCATCACCAAAGATGGGACAACCGATAATGAACTTGGCTTGCCTGACACCAATGGCTTGAATCAAAAGGACAACACTCAAATCCCGTTCTGAATTGAGGGGGGGAAAACAGCTGCCACCAGACTCGTTCGAACCGCTTCGGGATGGGATGAACCTCTGGCATCCCTGGTTTGATGTCGGCCCTTGAACAAGCTAGAGAAGAAGTGGCTTCTCCTTTTGCCTTTGGAATAACCTCTCAATTAGACTCGTGTGGTCTTTGGCTTTGGAACTCCCTGTGTTTTAGGCCCAGGTGCGGAGAAGCAATAGACGACGTGGAAACCAGGCATTTATCAGTGCGTTCGCAGTTAGGGAAATCGGCTATATAAGCGCAATGCAGGCCGCAGACCGAGGCCCCTTATTTTGTCCCAGAATTGGACGCACACATGTCTGGGATAGGCTTTCACCGGACTGCAGTTCTACAGCGATGCCGAGTGGGCAGCCGATTTGGCCAATGACACATCGCGACCTAATTGTCCGATCCACGAATTTCTGATTTTGACCAAGTCAATGTCGAGGTTTATGGCCCCTGTTACCGCGGGATAGCGGTTTTTCTTTTTGTCCGCACATCCGGTCTCACCCCCCATTTCGTTGCTCTTTTCTGGTTTCCCTCTGGCTTTTTGTTCCACGGGCTTTTTTGTCCTTGTTCGCCACGTCTGGCGAAAAAGCGGAGGAGCGGGAAGGGAAGGATCTCCCGTTCTTTCCCCCCCCCCTCCCCCTATCCGTCTTTGTTTGTCTTTTCCCTACTTTTTCTTTTTCTCTCTTTTCCCATTAGGGAAATACGATTTTCCCCAGGTGTACTGGGGGTGTCTTGCCAGCGCAGAGGACTTAATATCTCTGAAGATCCGCACTTCACCTCACTTAGTCTACTGCCAGGTGTTCATGCCCGTAACTCAAAACGTTTTATCTTCTCAGTTCCTGTGACGAAATTGCCACCCTTTCCAGCCAGGCCGAATACGAGATTCGATCGTTCCCCCTTAATACGGATGGACCGCCAGGAAACCCCAACCCGGTTGCATTGGGGATGTTGGGCCCTATGGAGAGCGAGCCACCTGCAGGCTATAAACATTCCCGCCGCTTCTCCGTTTTGTTCACCAGTAGTTCCACTCCGCGTTCGTCGTTATCCCAATCAGGGGCCGAAAACGTTTACTTTTGGTTTGGGCCCTTTCCTTTTTTTTGCCGTTGAATTGGCAGACGGCCTGGCCGTGGTGTCAAGGTTGAATCGCCACAATCACCCGTCGGCGGTTGGAGCCTTTACAGGAGCCGCGACCGGCGTGGGCCCCTCCCCGGCTGGCCACCCCCCTTAGAGTCAGGGGACATTATGGCTTGGCCCCGATACCGGCATATTGCCATGTTGAAACTCGCTGCCGTTTTTGCGCTCCTCTCCCCTCCACACTGGATTCACCTCATAACCGCCCATTTCTCCGTGCCTTTTCGCCCGGGTGGTGGAGGGCATTTCCTGTATGGGAAACTGCATTGGATGGTGTGTAGTTTTTTTCTCTGTCCCCGACGTGGCAGGAGGAATCTACTTTGAGAGTCCTATTCCCACAATCCGCTGGTGACCGGAAACGCCATGTGTGCGTTGGCCTGGCTTCCTCTGCGCATCCCAACGGACAATAATTGTTTTTCGTACCGCAGCTTTGCCGCCTCCTCCGGTCGGGTGGAAGCCGTGCTCTGCTGTCCCTTCCGGGCGACGACGGACCACCGACTGCACCTACTCCCTCCCCACGAACCCCGACGCCCGAAAACGAGGGCCTATTTTGGCCAGAATGTTTGTTCTTTTTTTAGTTTGATACGGCGTTTTTTATTTATTTTTTAGGGTCTCTGGCATCACGGAACCTTTGAAGAAGAAAAGGACCTATTATTTTTTTCGCATCTCCGCGTCCCCACACAGTCCAGGTTGGCACCCCTTCTTGAAAGTTCTTGCTCTTCTCATGAGTCCTGCTGGAAGCATGGAAACCAGGCTTGTTGTCGCAGTA